ACAAAAACAATTTCTAAAGCTTGGTCTTCTAAACATTAGATTGCTCACCGGTTATTGTAAATGAAATGGTCACAGATAATAATTTCGATGTTCTGTGGCCATGTCCACACTAATAAGTTTTCATTTGAAAACGTATATTTTTCTCTCCGTTTTGGCCTTCCGTCCACACTGAGACGCCGTTTTAAGTCAACAAAAACGTATCGTTTGGAAAACGTAAAGTGAAGTGAATTTAGTAAATCTCATCCACACTGAAACGTCGGAAAACGCCTGAAAATGCTAGTGTGGACGGAGAGCGTTTTTAAACGAAAACCCCGTTTTCAAATGTATCCGGATTAATGTGGACGTAGCCTGTGCCTTCCTGAAACCTGGCTTAAACCAAATGATTATTTCGGTCTAAATGAGTCTACCCCACCAGGATACTGTTATAAGCATGAGCCCTGTCTGATCGTTCGTGGCGGCGGTGTTGCAACAATATACAGAGATATCCTTAATGTTACTCAGAAAACTCGTCGTAGGTTTAATTCGTTTGAAGTACTTGTGCTAAATGTTACGCTGTTAGATGTAAGAAAGAAATCCCTATTATCTCTAGCATTGGCTACCGTATGTAGGCCTCCAGGGCATTACGCCGACTTCTTAAAAGAGTTTGCAGACTTTCTATCAAATCTATTGGTCAACATCGATAAAACATTAATTGTCGGAGATTTTAACATACGTAGATAATTCAAATGATGCGTTAGGGGTTGCGTTCACAGATTTATTAAACTCCTTTGGGGTCAAGCAAAACGTCACCGGACCAACTCATCATCTTAATCATACACTCGATTTAATTATATCATATGGAACCGATCAAACCGATATAGATATTCCACAAAATGACGACGTCACTGACCATTACATGGTTACTTGTATATTACGTACTGCTGTAATATGTCATGCTGCGCCACGTTATCGACCAGGTAGAAGAATTCTTCCATCCACCATAGATCATTTCTCAAATAGCTTATCTGATCTGACTCAGCTGCTGCCTGAACCCAAACAAACAGATGAACTAGACGAACTAACTAGCACTATGAGCTCCATTCTCTCTAGAACATTGGATATTGTTGCACCCATTCGATTAAAAAAAGGTCAGAGAAAAAAGTATAGCACTATGGTACAATAATACTATGTATGTTTTAAAGAGAGAAAATCATAATTTAGAGAGTAAATGAAAAAATCTCAATCTTTAGAATCGCATGGAAAGACAGTACGGCCAGGGCTGAGCACCTCAGCAAACTAATAGAAAAAAACCAAAATAATCCAAGGTTTTTATGCAACACCGAGGCTAGACTAACAAATAAACATACGACACAACACAATATCCTGTTACAGTTTAATGGTAATGACTTCATGAACTTCTTCACCGAGAAAATTAAAAAAGCAACAGAATCACAATCATAAACTCTCAGGCCCCGTTTACACGATGGGAAAACGCAGATATTTCTCTGCGTTTTGCCCTCTCATTTACACGAAAACGCCGCTTTTATCACAGAAAACGATTATTTCTAAAAACTCCGGCCAAAGTGGAGATTTCTGAAAACGCCGGTTATGTGTTGTCGTATGAACTGGGAGAAACGGCGTTTTAGGTTCTCTCTTGTCGTTTCTGAGGATTCTGATTGGCTTGAATGGCTTTATCCTTAACCCCTACACTGCCGCCAATAGGTTTGGCATAGTTATGATGGCGCTCGACGGCGTATTTATGCGGGTGTGTAAACGATGTTTTTTTTTTTGAAAACGGAGAGGGGGAAAATATTCGTTTTGCTAAATACCCGGCTTTGTGTAAACGTGGCCTCAATCTTTGCTCGCGCCTTATAATTCAGCCGCAATTATCACCCCGCAAGAACAATTACAATGCTTTAATACCATAGAACAAAAAGAGTTAAATAAACTTATCACTTTATCTAAAACAACAACATGTTTATTAGATCCTATACCAACTAAACTATTGAAAGAAGTATTACCTATGGAAGAGCCTCTTCTTAATATTATTAACTCATCTTTATCTTTTGGTCATGTTCCAAGAACGTTCAAGCTAGCAGTTATAAAGCCTCTTATTAAGAAACCACAATTAGATCCAAATAACCTAGCAAATTACAGACCCATCTCAAATCTTCCATTTATGTCAAAAATATTAGAAAAAGTTGTGTCCGCTCGGCTCTTTCCAGCAAGAAAACGACATCTATGAAAAGTTTCAGTCTGGATTCAGGCCACATCATAGCACTGAAACTGTGCTTGTTAGAATCACAAATGATCTACGTCTAGCTTCGGACCAAGGCTGTATCTCAGTACTAGTTTTACTTGATCTTAGTACTGCGTTCAATACTATAGATCACACAATACTATTAGATCGGTGTTCAAGGACAAGCATTAAGGTGGTTCAGGTCATACTTATCCAACCGCTACCATTTCGTCTACTTAAATGGAGAAAAATCGATCATTACTTCGGCAAACTATGGAGTGCCACAGGGATCTGTGTTAGGCCCTTTATTATTCTCCATATATGCTGCCAGTAAGGAAACATGGAATTAGTTTCCATTGTTATGCTGATGACACTCAAATATATATTTCATCACGGCCAGATGAATACGCTAAATTATCCAAATTGACAGATTGTGTTAAAGATATAAAAGATTGGATGACGTGTAACTTTCTTTTATTAAAGCACGACTTTAACATATTAGGATGCCCTGTTACTTTATCCGCTGCAGTAAAAAAACTGGGTGTTACATTAGACTGCAACCTGTCTTTTGAAAAGCATATTTCATATGTTACAAAAACAGCATTTTCCACCTTAGAAACATCACTAAGCTACGTAATATGCCATCTGTCTCTGATGCAGAAAAGTTAGTTCATGCATTGATGACCTCGAGGAATAAAAAAGGAATAAAAGCTCTGGAATAGCCTTCCTGATATTGTTGCTCAGACTCGCTCTCCCAGTTTAAAGCTAGACTGAAGACACATTTATTTAGCCAGGCATTCATATAAATTTCTTCTCTTACAGTTACTGTAAATTTGGGCTCTAGTTCATAAACGCCAGAGGAGAACTGGCCCCCGACTGAGCCTGGATTCTTAAAAGGTTGGGTTTTTTTTCTCCATTGGGTCATCTGATGGAGTTTTAGGACACCATCGGGTCACTTGATGGAGTTTTTCGGTTCCTTGCCACTGTTGCCTTTAGCTTGCTCAGTTGGGGATATTCAAATTAAATGACCCATCATTGATCAGCTCTACCAAACTTGATTGTCTTTTTTTCCCATTAATAAACAAACACTGTTAAGTTGTCTTGATTGATATTGTGAAGCAGCTTTGATACAACCTAAATTGTGAAAAGCACTATATATATATATATATTGACTTGACTTCTTTCAAGATAAGACTTTCAACAGGTCACTCACAGTTTGTTTCACACAAAATAAGACAAGACATGACACACAACAAACAGACACAGGACTGCAAACACAAGGGGATTAAATAGGGAGAAACTAATGAGGGGAACAGGTGACACAGACTAGGTAATAATGACAAGACGAGGATAACAAGGGGCGGGGTTAACAAGACAACACGAGCACATGGCCCAAACAACAGGCCATGCGCTTGTACACAAAACATGGGTCTGCCATGATCCTGCCACAAGATCAGGAAAAATCAATGATCAGGCAACTTGACTTTTGATCTTCATCTTTATTTGATTTATGAATAAATTAAGCAAGGGACACATTGATCAAGCAAATTGATTTTACCATTAAACATTTTGAACATTAATATTAAACATATAATGTTATATATGGTGACATGAGCCATTAACCAGGTCTTAAATTATATTTGTAACATGTATACATTTTTATATAAATTAATTAAATACAAATTTAAATAATGGGACAATCGATTCTAAATCTCCTGGCCACAGAAATAAAATGCCAGCATATTTTTTTTTAAATGACCAAGAAACAAACTAAAATCAAACAAAGCACATAAAAAAAGCATAAAATACATAAATACACAAATTCAAAAAAAAAAAAAATGCAGACCAATATTTTAGAGTCTTCTGCTTTTCTGGATCATACAGCACAGGAGCAGCAGTTCTCATGTCCTTGGACATCCGTTTATCATTCTGTACTTTCCTGTTAATCTGTGTGATGGCCAGCCATAGCAGGATATATCCTAACACCCGCAGAGAGTTGACCAGTCCCAGAAACAGGAACCTGATGAGGGTCACATTACATTTTAGCATGCATCAGTTGGGGTTGATACCCCTGCCAGATTTGCTCACCTAAAAGTCTCAGTGTCATACATTCTGCAAGCACCTCTTCCACCACATTTTTTGTGACCCCATTTCAGACAGGTAGAGTCAATAAGAGCCCCAAAGTAAATGGGAGCTTTTATACCACCTTTAAAAGAGTGAAATTGCATTAAAAACAATCCTGTGCCAGACCTCAATGTGATCGACATCTGTAATTTAATTAAAATTCTTGTGGCACTTCTTCTAAATAAACCCAAACAATACAAATGTGAACTTACCCAAAACTCTTAAAACTAATAGTAGCACGCCCACCGAGAGAGACTTTAGCTCAGGATCCACAATCCTGCAAGGACAAATTCAACATTTAATACACATTTCATCCATATAAATATGGTATATATATCATGTGTTGGGCTCCCCTACTTCTGTTTCTCCTAACTTTCCAGGGAGTCCTTTTTTTCCAAATGGGTCTGTTCTCCTGGTGACAGTAATGGAGGGTGGTAATGGCTTAGAAGACTCAACTCACATCTGCTGATACTTCCCCTGAAGCATACTTACCCTGATCCACTGAAGCATCTGAGATCCCTGTGGCACAACCCACACTTCGGGTTCCCTGTGGTGGGTTTCTAATCTTCTAATCTGTTGGCTCTTCTGTGGTCTTCCACTCAACCGGCTTTCCTGCGGCCTCATAGTCTGCCTCCCTATCCTGGGTCTTTTGCTCCTCTGGCTCCCCTATTCTGCTGGATCCCCTAAGGCCTCCTGCTCCTCCTAAACCATCTTGTTCAATTGTTCTGCCACAATTTTTCCAGCCATGGTGGTCTAATTCTCTGTGGTAGACCACTGTTTTCCAGCTTGAGACCCTACCGACCCTCTGACCATTGCCATATTCACATACCATGGTACTGTATTTGTCATGATACCTCAAGGTAATTCAAAGAGGAGGTACTACCATGGTGCATATCAAAAACAAACAAAAGTAATACTGCTCTTCTTTTTGGTACTTTCTTGTTAGTGAGTTCTAAGGTATAACAATTTAAACTCACCTCTATCAACCAAGCCAATGTCCACGTAAATACTAGCACACAGAGATCTAAGCGAGAAACCGAAAATTGGCCCGATGATTCCAAGTGTGTGCAGGCAACCTAGGAAAAAAAAAACTGGACAAACTGGACTGAGGGACAAGGGAACTTCAGTTTGAAAAAAAGGCACAATAATTTCTCACCAAAGTAAAAAGCAGAGTTTTCTGGGTGTGCATAATCATCTATGAAAGACATTCCCAAAGGACCGAGGTTGGCTTCCCCATTCCACGAATAATGTTTCCCAACAGCACAATCACCCATGTGGGCGAGCTTTCCTCTTCCCCTTTTTGGCATCCTATACAACCCATATAGAGTGCTCTGTTGGGTATTTTACTGCTTTTTACAATTAAAATATCCCACATGCTTTTCCACATATAACCTTGCATTACCGGCCACAAGCTGTTGAACAGTATTCTGTGAAATTATCAGCATCATTAGTGTGGGCGGCAGCTGTATCGTACGTGTACCTGTCAGAAACAAACAGACACATAAATAATAAATACACATGCATTTAAAATACAGATCTTCAAGAATACTGATCATTATGAGGTGGAAATATTTTAGTAGGAATATACTAATTATGTGATGGCCATCAATTAATTTATTTAATATTGCGTTAAATAACTGATAGATACAATGACTTGAAAGCACATCTTTTATAATCAACAAATGAAAATATCAGAAAAGGAACATTTTACTTAATGCTTGTACTAAATACACTTTTTTGAGTCATTGAATTTAAACTTTTCTAAGGATTCTAAAATTTCTAAAATTCTAAGGATTTATAAAAGTTTTTTTCTGTTCTTCATCGCACACACCCTTGACCCATGAACGTTACTCACCAGTCCATCATGAAGTGAGGTAAAGCCATTATCAATGTCCCTATACCCATGACCCTGTGAAACTTGGCGCCAAAGTAGCTTACCACAGTGATAACCAACAGATTCTTTGTTGTTTCATAGCATACCATCAATCAACTGTCCAGGATTCACATTACAGCCTCTGTGGTGTTATAAGTACTCTGTTATAAGAGGCTGCTATAAGTACTCATCTAACGGGTGAACCTCAGCCCTCATTTCTCAGTGCAGCTCGACACATCTCAACTCACCCATTTCAAAACTGCCATCAATGATACCAGCAGTAGAACTTGGGATCTCAAACCGTCTCTCAATCTGAGTGATGGTGCTTTTATGAGTGTTCCCCTACTATCCTAGGGAAAAAAAGATCGCCCAGATGTAGATCTACATTTTGCTTCGTTTCGGTCGGACTTTTGAAGGCGTGTACTAATCACTCGGACATTAATCGCGCAGACATACACGCGGATACACGCGGATAGCTCAAATTGCGTAGAGATATCTCGCTACTTGACACGAAAGTTGCGTGTATGTTTACGCAAAAGTCATGATGTCATGTTGGTATTTTATAATATATAGACAATAGAACATTCATAGTGAAAAGTTAAACAGTATTTGATGAATAATATATTTTAAAAGAGCATATGATTGTTCTTGCATTGTTTGCACATAGTAATAAAATACATGGTGATTGTTTGAAGAAATCAGACCAATCATAAAGTCTATCACAATCATGTTTTTATTTTATCTGTCAGATAGCCTACGTCTCGTCAATTTATACCTGACTACCTCTTTTTCTCTGACAGAAAATATCTGTAGCCTTCTGGGAGTCAAGTGAGTGGTACAGCTCCCATATTTATATCACATTTAGAAAGAAGTCCTGTAACTAAGTTACCAAATAAACAGAAACAGACGCGACTGAAGAAGTGTGTCCTCTTTTTTACATTTAGCTGACACTTTTATCCAAAGCGACTTACAATTGCTATATATGTCAGAGGTCGCACGCCTCTGGAGCAACTAGGGGTTAAGTGTCTTGCTCAGGGACACATTGGTGTCTCACAGTGGATTCGAACCCGAGTCGCTCACACCAAAGGCATGTGTCTTATCCACTGCGCCCGCTATATGAAATATACCCGCTATATTCTTTTATGAAACCTAACGGTAATTTCTGTGTGACTAATGTGACGAATAAATAAGGCATAAATACTAATTACAATAGTTCATGATCGGAGGATTTTGGTCATTTGAGTATTTTTTTTGGCCAGAGACTATAGTCTATAGACTATAGTCAGTAGTAGGGGCTGTCCCGTATGTTTTCAACACGCCCATAGAGGGTGGGATCTCATTCACAGAATGTACACATAGTACAGCCATCTTTTTTTTTGGAAGCTAAGCTAGCAGCGTCTTGTTCTGTGGAGAAAGCTGAATAGTAGGGGTTACCATCCTCTTTTTCCCAGACATGTCCGGCCGGCGGTGCTTTCTGCAGTCGCCATTCATTGTTTATATACACACCTTTTGTTTCAGTCTAACTGAATTCATTCCGATTGATGAATCTGAATGTAGTAGTTTTACATGAACGCTAAACAAGTGATCGGTTGATGTGTGTTTTAACATTGGTAAGAAAATTCCCATCCTCCGTGAGAGATACGAGACCAGTGCGTCTCACAGATGTCGCTCGGTAATCACGCCACCGGCCTCGCACCGTTCTCCCGCGGCCCTCACTCGTCCCGCTCGCCACTGTAAACTTAATGAATGGCGACTGTAGAACGCAAAAGCCGAATCCTGGACATTTTGGGCGATCTCGAAACACATTTTCAGGCAGACTCATCACGGAGACTCACTAGTAGCCTAGACTTGTTGTTTAACTACTGCGCTCTGTCACCAGTAGGCGTGGCCTCCTAGGGCAGCGAAGCAAGTGCATTCTGGGAGGAGTTGTCTTTCATCCATATAAGCCAAAAATACATTTTCTGGCTTTTCTCAATCTAGAAAGCTCCAAATTCAAAAACAATTTCACATTTCTTCTACATAAATGACCCATTTTAAATACACATTCATCTTTCCAGAGGTGAAGTATCCCTTTGAAGGGCAGCTATCATGACATCCCCAGTTTTGTGAGCAAATGAATGAATTAAAAGCAGGTATTATTTCAGCAATTATATCTGCTGCCACATTTACTTACAACTGTACCATTCCAAGAATCTTTTTTTAAATATTATGTGAAATAATCTACAGAGACACATATTAAAGAATGGAAATTTATTCTTGTTTTCAAATAGAGAAACAAACTTTGGATCACGAAAAGTGTTATGGCGAGTAACATTGTTTTCCAGATGGTTCTGGTCACTGTATTAGTAGTTCTCGACCCATTACCTTCTCAGCAATGCCTCCTGAATTCCCTGAAAGAGTTAAATAGCGGTGTTGCGGTGCTCATCGCTAGCCTTCAGTATTGGTTGCTTCTGTTTTTTCTGTGGTATCAGTTTTTGATCCATCATGGTGGTGCTTCTCTGGGGCCTGAAGTTCAATTTCATGTTGTTTGCTGGCTGTTTGCTGTAATGCTTTGACCTCTTCTTTACTAAACTGCTTCTGTAGCAGCACGATGACAGCAATGATGAAGAAGTAGGAGCATCCCCTTAAACATGTGGTCAGGCTCAAGAAGATTACTCTGAAAATAGGACAACAACGTTTTTGCACTTAGTTTAGTAAATATCCAACATGTCTAAACGGGCATTTAAAGATGTTACAAGCACGCTTTTTCTTTATTTGATACTAATAAAGACAATGGCATATAATTACGTACACAAATACACACCTGTACATATCTGAGTCGTATATACGACAGGCTCCTCGCCCCCCGCACTTCTTCATTCCCCATTTTAAACACGTTGAGTCAATGAGAGCTCCAAAATATACCGGAGCAGGAATACCACCTCCAGAAAAATATTACACATTAATGCAGTTTGCACAGAACATACTGTAATATGCATAAAATGTCAAATACAGTACAATATTAACTAGCTTATAAGTGTGTTTACATATATGTATGCTTTCTCGCCTTAAAGTAACACTGAATAGCAATGAACTGAATATTAATATTGTACCTAAAGTCCGCATCACCAGAGTTTGAATACCCAATGCCAGTGACTTCAGCTCAGGTTTAATGCATCTAAAAACACATTGTATACAGTAAATACATAACATACAGGGATGGAATTTGAATGCATGAATTGTTAAAATAACACTTAACACTTTAGTTTGGGGAACACATTCACATTAACTACAACTTTTGCCTCAATAAAATCCTAATTCACTATGAGTATCTGACCTTAAATTTTAAAGGTCGAAATATCTTATATAAACGTATTATATTTTTTTCCACACACACACACACACACACACTAAATATTAAATACAATCTATCGGTTTCACAGACAAATTTCAGATTTGCACAGCAGTTCAAAGCACTAGAACTACACCAAAACACTTTATTCATGTCTCAAATCAACTCATAGGACTCCCATAAGACTGGCAAAGATTTTCATCCACCAAAACAAAGATTGTCACTCACAAAACAACAGCCTAAAAAAAAAAGGTAAAACCATTATGCAATGTTTTCTTTTGTAAAGTTTCTTTACAAAGCAAGAATGACACACTATTGTTTATAATTCACTGCAGTGTGTTACATGGTCTATGTTTACATTGTGGAATTGCAAAATTACAAAGTTTTCCCTTTTGTATAGTACCAGGTTATGAACATCTAAAGCTACTTCTAATTGTTTTGATAGTATTTCAGTTTTTTTAGTCAGAATATATTTCAATATAGTATTACTGTATGAATGTAGCTGTTATGATTTGAAAAGAGTGTGTAAAAGTGCAAATTCTTCTGTAGGTTCGTAGAGTTTTGTGTGAGAAAAGGATTCATCTATTGAAAGATGAAGAGTTTAGCCTGCATAAACTGCTGCTGTGCTCACTGTGAAGAGATTTAAAAAAGAGACCCAAATGTGTCCTAGCGATTTAAAAAAAAAAAAAAAGGCCAAACACTTGCCTTACCAGAGATCACTAATTAAATCCTATCCTGCTGGTAACTGACCGTATTGTGATCATGTATCCAGGAGTAGTGCCCAGAGAGCTAATGAAGGAGCTGAGGACAGTTACAGCCATGTAAGAGGTGAAACTCCGGGTACATACTGGCCCACGGGGACACTGGCCCAGAGATACAGATCTGCTGCCCTCTACTGGTGAGGGGGTTAAGACACAGCTGCAGTTCTGGAAAACCTGTGACGCACAAATTACAGTGTGTAAACGAAGGCTTGCATTACTCCTTGGGTACCTTGGATTTAAAAAAAAGAGTTTATTAAAGGGGTGGTTGATTACTGATTACTTATTGATTTCACTTTAAGTTAGTGTAATGTTGCTGTTTGAGCATGATAAATTCAACTAACCATTCAGAAATGTTGTGTACACTTCTTCTTGAGTCTCTCCATCTTTGTCTGACTCCGGGTTGAATGTAATAATCTAAAAGTTTTTGACATTTTCAGTGTGAGCTGTCGTAGCTCCGCCCTCTGTGTCATGAGCAGCAGCAAATTTGCAATTAAAGGGACACAGACACAAAAAGGGTGTGTTTTGCTGACATCAAATACTTTACATCTTGTGAAAAGGGTATTACACCACCCCTTTAAGAAAAAAAGTTTTCAATAGATCCAATTATACTAGAAATACCGTGTTTTTGCCTTGTCCAGTGGAGGCGGTGCATCCTGCCAAACAGGGCGACACGTATGTAATGCCACTGTCAGAGCACACGGGATCCCATTCAGACGTAGAGCAGGAACAGTTCTGGTTACACTGAGACACGAGGGAGCGCTCATCATAAGATGTATCAGGAGTCCTTGGGAGGAATTCTGAGATTGGTGATTGTTTCCGGTTTTGAAACACAGTATATATTCTGGCTGAGAGCCAATGTTCACCTATAACAGTGGTTCTCAATTGTGTTTTCAACCCATTGGCTGCTTTCGAAATCACTAAAAACAGTATGTGACAAAATAAGTGTGTCCGAATTGTCTAAACTCATTAAAGAAAAAGTACCGGCGAGATTCTGAAGTGCACATACTGTACGATGGACACTTTACTATCCCATGAGGCCACGGTAGATGATTATGAATGGCAGTGAAGCGACACAACTGATGAGGTTATGAGAACATGATGAATGTAGAATGTCCATTTTACATTCATACTACACAGATTCATACTAACATACTCTTTTAGTGGTCGTAAAGTAATTGCTTTAAAATAAGTAACGACTCGCGATTTTGTAAAGTGATTTTGTTTCATCTATTGTAAAAGATTTGAACGTCAGGAAGTGAATTCGATTTGAGAGTGCATTCCTCCACACATTTTGAGAACCACTGACTTAGAGGTATAGAAACATATTACCCATTGTAGGAGACAGTGAGCCCCGCCACAGGCAAATTGTCACACTTTGTGCCGAAATGGAGGAGGAGGAGAAGGAAGGCAGAGAAGGAGGTGATGAAGGAGAGCTGAGCCCCTGCCACAACGCTCAACTTGTATCTTTTCATTAACAAACCACCCAAAAATATTCCCACGGCAACCACAGGCAGGATCAGGACACCTGCGGGACATGACAGGTCTTTAGTTTCAATTAATGTCAAGCCTGACAAACTTCTCTGTGTGGGTTGGTTGGGTTCAGATGAATTTGCTCCAAAACACTGTAACTGAATTTGACAAAAGATATGAGAAGTCAAAAAAATTAAAGTTTTACTTCAAATTACATGTTAAATCATGTTGTAATAATCTTTTTGTCATGCTTTAAGGAAGTAAACTATGTTGATGTGTAGACAAA